TTACTTTAACAATCAATATTATCTTTCTGTGTTTTATTTCATATACCATGTGCTTGTCTTTCTGTATCTTGGTGTTATTAGTAAAATTTCTCCATGCTTATTTGTACAATTTCAGCTTTGCTCCATTTCCTTTGTGAGGGTGCTCGATTCTGGTCCATGTCAAAGCTGGTGATTACAATATACAAATACCAAAGACAAATATCTACCTCAGCCTTAACAGGCTATTGGGACAAGTGCTGTTAACTCCCTCGCCTGGTATACAGGAGGTCGTGGGTTCGATCCCGACCCGTGACGCCTACTGCTGTATATTTGGAGTTTGCGTGTTTTCCCCGTGGTCGCGTGGATTTTTTTCTGAGTCCTCCGCTTTTCTCCTCCACATTTAGAAACATGCGTTTAGCGTATTCAACTGCTATACATTTCCACATGATGATAAGCCACTTCGTTGAGCTATCATTTGTGGGGCCTTAACGTGGTAAAAAAAAAAGTATTTAATAGTTTTAGTAATTTGTAGTACTCATTCACTGATATGCACTGATAGTTTATGAGCACAAGATTCGTTGCTGGTATCGGGAAATGAATCCACGTTACTGATGTGAACAGCTCTTAAGTGTCTTTCCAACTCGGTTGCAATGTCTGCCAACTGAGTGACGCTGTTTTAACTTAACCAGTAAGCTACAGTAATCATCATCAGCCACGATTATGCCACAATTCTGTCACGGTAATTCATTTAAAAATGTATGGCTGGCTGGAAAAAAAACTAACAAATATATCACGATTCACGGAATTAGACGTGACAGTATTGATAATATTCTTCACATGTTTAACATGCAGTGGCCACAAGTGGCTTCAATAGCCAAACTAATCCATTAGATACAACATACAAGAAATAAAAAATGTGAATCTTACACATGTGCGCTTAAGAAACGAAATTAATTGATGAATCGATAATTACACACTTAAGTCACAAAAGTCACTTATTTCCTGCTCTTATTGGCAATGATGTGATACTCATCTCTCAGTTTATAGCCCTGGGCCAGTTGTGGAAATTCCACATTCCTACGTTGGGGGAGAGTCACTCCATAGGACAACCACTGTTGACTGCCCCACAAAGCGGTACTTCATTTATCGACCCCATCAGAATGATGGGCTGAGTCAATCCCCCTGTTGTGATGTGAACTCGCAACTTTCTGATTGCGAGCTGTGTGCTCTACCGCTGAGCCACACACCCCGAGTTGGTGGCCAAAGTTTCATCCCCACCCCCTCCCCCAGTCTGCAGGGTAGGGGGCTGATAGATCTGCTGTGGCAGCCTTTATTGTACCTCAGTGTCTCTTCCTTCTGTTAATTGCAGCAAAGTTGACACCCAACCTCGAATATCTGTCCTCACTTTTATCATCACCACCACAAATAGCATTTCAATTCCTTTCTCCACTCGCACATCTGAGTCGTTTTTCCACCGGGTATTTGCCAAGCCGAGCCAGAACCAAACCGTGATATGCAAGCCCGACATCTGCATCTACCTCGGGGACCTAGCAGGGCCAAGTGTCCGGGGTCAACCGATTTCAACGCTGCCGTGACACCGTCAAGTCAGCAACACTGAGAGATCGTCGCTCCAACGTCATCTACGCGCGTCTCGACTCGCCCCGTTGGGTGTGATGTCAGCGGCACGGCTCGGCTCGGCTTCTGCGGTGGAAAAAATATAAAACCACACCTGACTCCGCCTCCCGAGCCGCACCGAACCCGGGCTGGTTGGGCACGGCACGGCCCCGGCTCGACTCGTTTGTGCGGTGACATCAGAGGCACTTAATTCGGCAGACACATTACACAGTTGCGAGGCCCCGGCAATGACGCGGACGACGATGAGCTTGATGCGTGTGACCTTAAGATTTTTTTTTAAACGCATGCCATTAGCATCGCTCCAGATTCTCACGGCCCAGTGTTTACAAGTGAGGAGGTCACCTCTTAGGGTGTGTTGTCAAGAAGGAGGCAGGCTCTGTGTTGTATACGACATAGGTTGACATCCATCGGATGACCTAGTGGAAGGGTGGGGGGGGGGGCTACAATATGATGCTGCTTCATTTGCTCAACGAAAATCTGCTTACCCATGGAAACGCATACGCAAGCATAAACGTAGAAATAATCATGCTGAATATTCACCCAGGAGAGCGAGCCTCACCGAGTCTCAATATTCCTTGACGAGAATCGTCGAATTCCACTGATGAACGTTTGGCTTGCCGGAGGAAACCAGACGTCATACTTGGAAAAGACTTGTGCGTATGAGGAAGTAACACGCACAGATGGAGTCAATAATCCATTGCTGTACTATAATATATTGGCAATCGCTGCAGCCTTCCACCCAAGTTGAGTCTCAAGACTCGTTTTCATGAGGGTCCTCCATTGGGATGTTTGCCCAATGCCAATGTTATGTACAGAGCCTCCTCTACTTACGAGCAACCCCCATCGTGTCTCAGAAGCGCAATAGTGGTGAAAGTGTTGAGGGTGGTATTAAGAAGAACCAGTGGCATCTACAGGAGATTATACAAGTTGAGTATTTAGTACACATGCCGTACAACATCTTTGGAATCAACAGGAGTCAAGTTGGACTTACGAACAAATCGACTTACGAACAAATCGACTTACGAACAAATCGACTTACGAACAGGCCTCTGGAAAAGAACTCGTTCGTAAGTAGATGATTCCCTGTATATAAACATACACTTGCATATGTATACTTTATAGAAGAGGTGGGACAAAGTCATTGTTATGCAAGTCCAAGTCGAGTCTGAAGTCATCAAATTCATGACTCGAGTCTGACTCGAGTCCAAGTCACATGACTCGAGTCCACACCTCAGAGGTGGGACAAAGTCATTGTTATGCAAGTCCAAGTCGAGTCTGAAGTCATCAAATTCATGACTCGAGTCTGACTCGAGTCCAAGTCACATGACTCGAGTCCACACCTCAGAGGTGGGACAAAGTCATTGTTATGCAAGTCCAAGTCGAGTCTGAAGTCATCAAATTCATGACTCGAGTCTGACTCGAGTCCAAGTCACATGACTCGAGTCCACACCTCAGAGGTGGGACAAAGTCATTGTTATGCAAGTCCAAGTCGAGTCTGAAGTCATCAAATTCATGACTCGAGTCTGACTCGAGTCCAAGTCACATGACTCGAGTCCACACCTCTGCTTTATAGGGCATTAGCATTACGTGTAAACATGCATCATTCAGGCAAGCTTGACTCTGCTGATGAGAACAATGCATGTCAAAACCGGTCCAGAGTTTCCTTGCATCGTGTCAATGCTGCTGAATGTATGCAGAAGGCCAACGGCCGACGACTCGTCGTGCATAAGACGCGGTTATATTACTTTATTATTGAGTTACTTATCTAATTAGTTGGCCAAATAATCCAATGCAAGGTCCATCATGAGGCTCAACGAACCTGTCCTTCGTTGTTATTCTTACTGTACAGAAATATATTGAAGGTGCAGTACTGTACACATGGCCACACCAATTATATTGCATTGTGTATGCCCGTACAAGATATGTATTTACACACACATGCAGTCCTGTAACACGGCACACAACCCTACACGTATAATTACACACATACACTGAAAACGTGGCAACAGAAATGCAATTATCAGCACATTGGCTCTGAGGATTGTTCATTGCTTGCCCAGATTATTATCAGTGGGCGAACAAACTAAAACATAATACTCCAAATAATAATAATAATAAAACAGCCTACTGTAATTGAAAAAAACCCAACAGGCTAATGCACATGTGCAGTACTGTACAGTATACACATATAGGTATATACACATACAAAATCTCGGCTTATGCGCAAGCGATTCAATCCAACCACACGTTGGCAATCAGAGAACGCACGTTTAAAGGAGCGCATCGTCAAATGACAGAGGCGGCCTTTTTGCACAGCAGAAGAATGAGGATGATGATGATGACGTTAAGGATGTCTATTGTTGTTGCTGTGCGTGCATCCACCAGTACTGTTGTGGTATGGCCTACAAGGCCCTATATGGTCGGCTTATAAGGCTGCTGCTGCTGCTGCTAACAACGTTTGCAATGCACGTAGACAGTATGTGATATAATGGACTGTAGGATTTGCCATAATAAACGCTTTGGGGTACATATTTTCAAATGTGTATTGCAAACGCGCTGTTATTCATCGGCGTGTGCACATGCTCAATAGGGGATATCACGCGTAATGTCGTTCGCACGAACACATCTGGCAGGACTGTCCAATGCACGCACTATTGTAATCATACCCGAGGATAGCTCTCGTCTTATAGCGTCGACTTTGATTACAGAGCAATGGATCAGGCGCGTTTAGTCGGCTCCGATCTCGAAACAATGGGGGCACCAATATAATGCATCCATATAAATACAGTGCGACGTTCGTCTGTATTAATAATTCCCTGTTGGTAAGTGCAGCAGTGTGTGTCGTTAACGTAATGCAGGCAGCGCAATATAAAGCAATGATATTCATCATGGTAACGTCACAAATACAATGATGTTTCTTTACACGGGTAAGCTTGAGCCTCAAGACTCATCTTAGGGGAGGGGTTCTTGCTACGAATCGAGATGTTTGGCCGATTAATTTTGATGTCGAAGTAAAACTGGCTCAAACGCTCAAAACTCCGCACAGATGCATTCAAGAATCCACTGGGGGTAGCACCACCTCCTGGCCCTGCTCGCAGCCACAGGAGAAGCGACGTTGACTTTGGGCAGAGCAAGCACGGTTTGCGGTGAGCAGAGGTGCGCGTCTTCCAAGAGCGCGTCGCGCACGCCGCACAGATGGATTGCAACGATCCATACCCGGAGCGCCATCTCCTGGGCCACCCTCGCGGTACAAGAGTGGTGAGGTTGAGCGACCGTGAGTGGTGAGACAAGGAGGTGGGGAGGGGGGAGGGGGGGACACTGGTGGAAGCTACCTGCCAAACATGCGTCTCTCACTCACACACACAGACAGACAACAACTCACGTACCGAGCACGAAGTAAGGCAGCTCGGTGTTCTCCAGGTCGTCCGCGATGGCCAGTTCTCCGGGGAGGATCGTGCCTGATGGACAACAGCAGCTTGGACTCGGCGGCAGACGACGACGAGCTCGAGGAGAGACCGTGAAAGCCACTTCGCTCTCACGCAACACCGGCAGCGTGGACACGGTCACCGTGTGTGTCCGACAGCCGGAGTGCGCCACGGACGCAGATGACAACGCGGGGTGCAGGAGGAGGATGAGGATGAGCGCGAGCGACGATGATGGAGCAGCTGCCGATGATGAGAACACGAATGGGAACGGCACGGGCAGGAGCCGCGGCTTTGCGGCCATTATAGCTGCCCGGCCGTGCTAGATGAGGCTACAGCAGCGGCAGCAGCAGCAGTAGCGATGAAGAGGAGAGGGAGGAATAGCGCGCACGGAGCGGAGGTGATGGAGGCGGGCGGGAGGGGGGGTGAGCAGAGGAGGAGGAGGGTGTTTGGGGGGGGGGTGTTGTTCTGCTATAGAGGAGCGTGGTGAAGAGAGAGAGAGGAGAGCGCACACGCGCACACACAGGGGGGGCAAGGGAGAGAGAGGAGAGCACACACAGAGAGGGGCAAGGGAGGAGAGAGAGGGAGTGGGGAATGAGGGAGCGCTCTTAAAGCGACGCTTCCTCGCCTCTTCCATTCGCTCGCAGTGGCGCGGCTCGTACGGCAGTGGTGATTGCAAGTCGGCGAGAAGGGGGCAGGAGGCTGTACGGAGGACGAACGCGGAATGGCAAAGGGGATTGCTTTTTGTGTTTTGGAGGAGGTGAAGTGTTGAAGATGTCTTACGACGATGCATAGTTGGGAGTGGTGTTATTATTGCATTTCTTTGAAATAATTGTATTTTTGTAGGTTTGGTTGCTACAATGGGACACCTCTTTTAGGCAGGTACATCTCGCAAACCGGCGTAATAGGTGGACTAATTAATTACCCCGTCAGTCGTATCTGCCTGCTCCTCCTCCACCATCACCACCACCCCATCAGCACCACCACCCCATCCTCGTCCTTTATCCCCACCCCACTCCAACACCTTCACGCTCTCTCGCTCTCTCTCTCGTGCGCTCTCTCTCTCTCTCCCCGTGCGTCCTCCTCCCCCCGTCTGCCGGAGAGACTGCACATTTCATCGCAACGTGCACACCGCGGCGGACCATCGAGCCAAGTGAGGGCTTCCTCGTAGGTGGCGGCCGCTACGTTGTGTGACCCCCCCCCCCCCACCACGAAGATTTGAGATAAAGAGACAACAGGAGAGAGAGAGAGAGGTGGAGGGGTAAAAGCCAACGTAATCTACACGCCGAGTCGATGCCCCATATCTCTGGGGACCCGGGAGCGACACCGGTCGAGTCTTGGCTACAAGCGGCGGAGGAGGAGGAGGAGGTGGACGCCGAAGAAGAGGAAGCACCACGCGTGGGCTCTTTGACCAGACGACGGAGTTTTCGTCCGGAGAGGGGAAGCCGCGAAACGTCAGACTTCATGTGCGGGAGTTAATTATTTGCCAGCGGCGCGTTTTTTGCTGGGTTGGTGTTGGTGGTGGTGCAGGAGGAGGAGCGCACAGATTCGAGGCCGTGCTGCCCGCAAGCGTTTTCTCGAGGACACATCTAACCCGCCGAGGAGTCAGAAGAGGTCTCTCGCTAGCGGCGTCTCGCTCGCCCAGTCACTCCGCTACCCTCGCTCGCTCGCTCGCCACTCTCTCGCCCGGCCCATTCGCCGCTTCTCTCTCGACGGCTTCTCGTTCCGTTTGAATCCTTCACAATAACGCCGGCGACTGCCTCCACAATCCGCCACGAGACAGAGGAGAGGGAGAATGCGCCCTGAGTGAAATACGCGGACAAGCGAGAAGCGGACAGAGGACCGCGATCGGAGCGCAATAAGTAAGTGGCTGGCGCTGCGAATTTCCACGCGTGCAATATTTTGGGGAAGGGAAATGTTTAGGGAGCCGAGGGGTTGGGAGGACAAGCTTGGTGTTTGGATGCCTTTTATTGACACTCCACGCTAAATGATTTTTGTTAAATGTATTCATTCATTCCATGGGGGTTATGTATCCACGATTGTCCGATTTAACCCAACTTTGCCAATCGTTCGTTTGACCCATTCCCTCCACGCAATCAGCTGCCCCGATCGCAGGAACCGAACGGGATGTGGCACGGATCACGCGTGGCGTTGAATGTTGCGAAAAACCTTCGCACCGCGGTGCAAGTAGTAGTAGTGTGGGGGGCTATTTCCTCTGGTCTCCCTTGCAATGGAGACACGTGCACCCGCGTCTCAGCAGTGACGCCCTCGGTTTAATTGGGACATATGCCCAGGTGTGCGTCGTATCCAGGTAGTGATCGCAGGTAGGGTAGGTACACGTGTATGTATGTAGCACGCATAGGATGCTGGGCTTGGTTGCGTGGGTAGTGAGCGCTCTGCTCGAGTGATTTGTAGCGAACAATGTGGCTCTAGTGGTGTACGAGACGGCCCAGTCTGTGGTCTTGTTGCGGTGTGTGCACTTCAGCACGGGGAAGACAAAGGCGGACGGGCGTGGTGCTATCCACACCAATCCCCCCGTGCCCTCGTGCCCTGCACTTGCTTTAATGTGGTTCTCTCTCAGCACTTGCCCCTAACAGTCTGTGAAGGCTGTACGGGTGGATCTGTGTGTGCGTGCGTGTGCGCGTGTGTGCGTGCGTGTGCGCGTGTGCGTGTGTGTGTTGGGGAGCGGTAGTGTAGTGATTAGCGCGCTGCGCTATGAACCCAACAACCCTAGTTCGATTCCCGCTCACGGCCAACACCCAGTGACGAGTATCTGAACCGTTCACGGGCCTCCCCTAGGTCGACTCAGCCTCAAATGAGTACCTGGTGCGATGTGTAAACATCGTCACTAGGGAGACAAAGGCGGTCGGGCGTGGTTCTGGCCAACCACCCCCTCGTGTGCCGTGCCGGCCTTCATAGGTGATTGCTAACAGCACTTGCCCCTACAGTCTGTTCAGGCTACACGGGGGATCTTTGTGGGTGTGTGTGCGTGTGCACACTGAGAGCCGCCTATGGAAATCACGACTTTGCGGTGCCACAAGATATGACAGTGGTCCGTGCCACTGCAGGGAGATCAGAGAGGGGTTGGGGGGGGAGGGTTACGTTGTGTGGGTAAGTGAGTGTGGGGGGTGGCGAGCGACAGAGTCATGTGTAGTACAGCCGATGTTCACACACCAGCGTTTGGTAATCTTCGTGGGTCATATCATGTACTGCGACGGGGATGCGTAAGGAGGATGGAGGTTCGTGGATAAAAACATTTGTTCGAGAGGCTGCGGCTTTTTCGCCACCCTTCGCCTTCCCATCAACTCGCTAATTCGCATACCGATCACCTTCACACAGATACACACCACACCACCATCGGCTAACAAACCCTTCCCGTGCATGCGTAACATCGCCCCATCGCTCCATCCGTCCGTTGCCCACCCCCCACCCCCAGAGCCTATGACACCCCTCCACATGGGCGACCGCTTTCAGGTTTTGTATTCACGCAATGATAGGGACATCGTGGGTGCGCGGATAGGCGCTCACTATAACGCCGCGAATAATGAACACACTGTGAACGGAAAGCCAACGTACACATCGGCCGTACCTTTTACGCACAGATACGCGCACTAAATTGCATTCACTTTGGCCTTTAAGGCGTGGGGCCAACGTGATTTTTTTCACACATCATTCATCCCCACCCTACAGAAACCCTTCTCATTGTGTGTACGTCTCTATTGGTTTGTACTTGTACAGACCCTTTCTCTATCCACTGCTGGATGAAAGACACCCCCCCCCCTTCCCACGACGTTACGGGTCTTGGGGGTTATTGAATTACGCTAGTGTTGTTTGTCAAGGATGTGGTGGATCCATGACCCGGTCCAGATACCACTCACCAATGACTGATGTTACCCGTGCCAGGGGAATTGAACCGGGGTCAGCTTGTTTGAAAGCGCACTGCGCTAACCACTGCGCCACCACGCCACCCCCTGAACTGCTTGTACTGTGTGATTTATGGTACGACCCGGCTACCTACCACTACCACCACCATCCCCCAAATCCGCCACTTCTCCACGGCTGTTCACCTCCATATCACGCCCTCGTTCTCCCGTCCCGCGCCTCTCTACCTGATGGACCCTGTCGCTATCTCGTGATCGCTGATAACAATTGACTGCTTACAGAACCTTACCACCTTATGGCCGTTGCCTTCCCCCGTGCATTCCGAAGACATGTTTTTTTTTTACAGCCCTATGCGGTACTTTGGTTATTAGAGGTTACCCAGGGGTTTAATTGCAGCCGCAGCTTCTGCGATTCGGCCCTTTGTTCAGCGAGGGTTGGTGATGGAGATTTGGGACGGCACCACAGCAGTCCCCCTGGTATGCGTGGGGTTTTCTCCGGGTTACTCGGATTTCCTCTCACGCGGCGAGCCCAAACGCTCGTCCATGTAATTGACCAAACCATCCCAATGTAGGAGCAGAACCCTCCTGAAAAAAAAACAAGTCATAAGACCCAGTGAGTCTTATGTATTATGTTAAATTTGGCGGTGATATTTAAACATGTCAGCATGTACAATGAGATAATATTCATGTCTGCGTAGAATGCTTGTTTTTTTAGTTATGTTGAAATGCCTAATTAACGCAACCCATTAATCGGTGACAGAACTTACTCTCGACTCTCTCAATGGCATAATACAGAGGAATAACAGGGAAACTCATGTCCTAAACCCTCTTTTCCCTATCCACTGCTGGATGAAGGCCTCTCCCCACGCCGTGTCGCTAGCGGTGGTTGCTTCATCATATTTCACCACAGTGGTGAGTGCGGGTTGGGTGAAACGGATGGGGGGGCGGGGGAGAGCCAAGGGCCACTGATGTTAGCCGCCGGGGCCGAATTGAAAGCATCCAGGTTCATAGCGCAGTGCGCTTACCACTGCGTGACCGCTCCTCTCTGTGTATACATGCATGTATGTGTGCCACGCGTATATCCTATATATATAAAGCGTTGTGCGAGAGGCGACGGAGTCGCCTTTGTCTTCTCGGTGCTGATGGTTGCAGTGTAGACCGTACCAGGCACAGTAGTCGTTTTAGGCTGAGTCGACCTAGGGGTGGTTCAGAACCTCTTCCGATATCACGCACCATGCACGCAGCCGAGTTCGTAGCGCAGTACGCAAACCATTGTGCCACCGCTCCCCAGAATTAAACACGGAACAGAGATCCCACTCGCGCCGTATAAATTGTTCGGGAAAATGCTCCTAACGAGCGCCTATTGATGCCAGCAATAAACACGACGGTGTGGTGTGTGACTAGTACCACGCAGGGCTGTCTTTGCCTCCACACTGCCTCGGCCACCTCGGTTCGACACCCAACCACGGCTTACAACCAGCGGTGAATATGCGAACCGGTCCTGGGTCTCCTCTAGGTCGACTCCGCCTTGACGAAACACGCGGACACTGACACACACGGACCTCTCTGTCGGTCACGGTAATCATCTGGCGGAGAAGGCTCAGCACGTTTCGTAGTTAGTGCGGCAGGTCTAATTTAATATTTAGTAAATCACGTACTGTGTATGCGCACACCACAGTGATTATCCACCGAGCAAGTTGGGAGCTGTGTTTGCAGTTCGACTGCCTGATAGCTGCCGGTCTATTTACAGCCCGATAGGCAATTCACTGCGGGCTCTTTGATAACACTTGAAACCACGTTGATCAGTCGGGTCTGACAGTCCTTTATAAATACTGTATAACCCTTGCGTGAAGCCGCTCCACCACCCTTGCCCCCCACCTCTCCCCCCGCCACATCGTATCGGTCGTGGAGGGGTGTTGTTGTTTGACCATACTTCACCACTAAATGGCATTGGGGAGGAGGAGGAGGTTGCTGTTGGCCAGTACCGCTTTAGATATCGATCGCCACCGATGTGAGTAGCCGTGGCCGAGAATTATCCTCGCAGCCCGGATGCGCTCACCAAATGCGCCACCTGCCTTCGCGAATTATCGCTTTGCATACATCTCCCATATAATATGCGCACACACGTGCACACGCGTTGCCTTCTGCACAGTGTAAGTGAAACGCCGTGGGGGGGAGGGGGGTAGTGCTCGCGTGGACAGCGCTCACTGCCACGCGATGCGCCGCCTCTCGTCGACAAGAAGAGACGATAACAACTAGGAATTCTAGATTTGAAGCTTTCGTGACTGCAAGTATTCCTATTCTTAGGTTTTTTCGGTAAAGTCACGTAGGTAAAAATTCAATGAATAAAGTAAAATAAAAAATAAAATAAAAATCACGACGTTTCGGAGGCAACACAAGCTTTTTTATTTTACTTTTATTAATTTTAATGTTTTACCTACGTGACTTTACCGAAAAACACCTACGAGTATGAATCATTGCAGTCACGAAAGCTTCAAATCTAGAATTAACACCCCCTGTTTTATTGCCAGAAAATGGGTAAAACCTTTTGCACGAGGCATCTCGCTTGGAGCAAGCGGCAAAGGCGTTGTTATTGTAGAGTATATTTAGTATACTGATGATACTATGTAGTTTATACTTTAGTTGTTTACGTGGTGGTTTAGTTACTGCAGCTACATACTATAACACTCCTTCCCTTTATTAATGCTACCCCTATCCCTTCCCTTTGATGCTACTAATCCTGCATACTGCATCGGGCATAATGACTTTAAACCCCTCGCCAAACCTACGGATTTCACAAGTACAGAAGTACTAATCGCATATCTGCATTTCCCATAAATATGCTAAATTCCTCTTGATATGCAAATTCCTTTGTCAAGGCGCTCTTCCCCCCTCCATCCCAGCTTAAATAGTCGCTCCAAGCCTGGGGCTTGTCATTCAGACTCTGTCTCCTCGACAGACCTGTTCTCCACCTGAGGACG